CTTTAATAAAATAATTAACATTTATTCAACAGAAATGTTTCCATATGCCAATGAAAGAGCTACAGAAGGATGCTGATAACAGCACTGTTCCAACAGCCCAAAAAAAATCCCCCTGGCCACCAGCAGTGGAATAGGTAAATTATGGTATATGTGAACAATAGAATACAATACAGCAATGAAAACGAACAACTTCAACTACACACACATGGGTGAATCCCACAAACCATGTTTGCATAAAAGGAGCCAGACACAAAGAGTAAATGCTTTATGATCCCACTGATATAAAGTTCACCCAGGAGCAAAGTTACTCTGTGGTATTAGAACATAGGAGAGTGACTATTTCTTTGGAGGCTGGTGACTGGGTGGGGGCTGTTTATGTCTGTCTCTTGATCTGAGTGTTGGTTACATGGCTGTTTATTTTATGAATATTTAGTAAATTGTATACTTATGGTACATATACTTTTCTCTATGTATATATTATTGTTCACAAATTAATTAATCAATTAATTTTTGGATGAAATCTTGCTATGTTGCTGAGGCTAGTCTGGAAATCCTGGTCTCATGTGATCTTCTTGCCTCAGCTTCTTGAGTAGCTGGCATTGTAAGCAAATACCACTGCGTCCAACTGATTTTTACCATTTTTATAAACAATAAAAGGCAAGCAAATCTTGCCTACTGTATCTGGTGACCTGAAGATGTGAAGTGACCTTAGATTCTGAGGAAGGGGCAGGCCTGGGGATCTAACATTGACTCTAGTTTCCAAATGGAGCCCTGAGGCATAGAGCAGTTGCAGGCCAGACCAAGGTTGCAAAGTGACTAAGTAGCAGAGCCAGGATTTGAACCCTGGAGGAAGGCTCCTGTGGTCTTCATCCTTCAACTTGACTGCTGTCTTTATTGCTCAGAGCTCAGGGAGGAGGAGAGGAGCAAATGCACAGGAGTTCAAGGCTGTGGTGGGAGGGAAGACAGGTGCAGAAACCTGAAGCGATTGAGGACATCTCTTTATTAAAGAGATACCTCCCAGTGAAGTGAATATTCACAAGGCCAACCAGGTGTAACGTGAGGAAAGGTTAAGGATCTTAGTGGGCTATGCTTATTGAGCTGGGAAGTCAGGGAAGTATGTGTTTAGTTTTTGAAAGATTTTGGAGTAAGGGACAAATTCTGATTACACCAGGGAAAATCATTTATGATAAATGCTCACTCATCTTACAATGTCAAAAAAAGAAAAATGAAGTGTGTGTACGTGTGTTGCGTGCATGTATACGCTACATTCTTTTGGGGGAAAATCTTATTTTCATCTGAGACAGAAAAAATACCATATCATTAGGCTTTTTTTAAAGTAAGGAAATTATGATTTTGTGATTAGACCAGGATGTGATTATAGGTCAAAGTAGAACAACTTAATATAATTAGTTTTGAAACAGTAACTGAAACTACAATATACAAAACCACTGCCTGGAGTCTTAATTACACAACAGAGATTACTGTATACAAATCACTCATTCTGTCAGTTCCTTTTATTGCACAGGGATTAAATGCAAGAGTAAAGGACCTGGCCTGGATAGTCTCAATACAATATTACCAATGGGTACAGATTGGATAGGAGTAGTTAATAAAGCCAGTGAATCAAGTGAAAGGGCTTATTGTTTTAGAGTGTGTGTATAGTACATTATTCATAATGAGTTTGTTTAAGCAGAGTTTTCATTGGAAATAGCTCAAGAAGTATTTCCAAATTAAGAAATGTTTGCTAAATAAAAGAGCCTGTGATTTATTTTTTACTATACAGTATCCACACTTCACACATTTGACATGACTTCATCCATACCGTACCCATCTGAACCTCTCAATTAGATAAAACACAAAGGGATGAAGTCATTTGTTTTTAATCTCTTAGACAAGGAACTAAAATCAGGAGTGAAGCTCTTCCACCTTTCTGCTAAGACTGCCGAGTTGTGGGTACCCAATTGCCTCGTGTGATCACGCAGGAGCAAGTTAAACAATCCCTAAAAATCTCAGGACAGCCCTTCTTGCCCCAGAAACCCTTCCTCTCTGGGGTGTTCTCCGCTTGCCAACCTGGTTTCCAGATTCTTTGAGCCCCTGCACACCCTCGCTGCCTCAACCTCTCTGGCAAGGTGAGGAATCTCGGCCTCCTGAGACCCCACTGCCACATTCTCCGCGGACACTTTCCCTGCAAGTGCTCCTCTGACTTTCATTTCACCTCTGCTTGCTCTCGCCGTACGTGATTTGTATTTACATGTCCAGGCAGCAGCACCTCACAATGCCTGTGTATTAGGTCTCATATTCCAAACTCAACTGAGTGGCGTATGTACGTATGTTGTATTGCATGTAAAAGTGACTCCTAATAAAGCTCTCTGAATCCTCTTTCCACCCACGTAGTTTATCCATACTTGACAAAGTACAGTGCAGGCGATGGGAAAAGGGAAACTGAAGGGTAGGAAAGTCTGTCTTCAGTGTTTTCAAACTTGCTTTAAAACACATACGTTTCTTGAAATGCAGAAGTTAAAGTGATGAATGTTAAGTGGATATTTTTTCGCCTTCACTGACTGATCAGAAGAGTAGTTATAACCCCCCTGACTGACGCCTCGAGCTGATAAATCAACAGCAAGGGAGAATATTTCAAGCACATCTATCATTTAAGACAAACAGCCTAGACTGTGTATGATTATTTTTTATTCATCATTTTAGCTCACCTCTGCGTTTGTGCTTTCTCCGTGTTAATAATATCTGTATAAGACTTCTCAATATTTAATGTTACAGCTTGCCTGCCGCATACGGATGAGGTGAAGGTCACATGTTTGAGTTCTAGAAGCCCAGGGAGCTTTGCCAGAAGAAAAGGGAGGGAGCTCTGTTTCTCAAAAGCCCGATCCTAGCCAGCTTCCCTGTCATAATCACAGAACTAAAGTTTTACAGGCAAGGAAGGCCAAGCTACTTTAACAGGCTGGCACAAAAGCTTGTAATTAGCAAAGCGATGCCCAGGAGCACAAAGCAGCACAATTCAGAGTTTCCATGACTCGGGTCACACCCAGCCCAGTCCACAGGGTCAGTGGTACCCACGTCACACCCAAAGGATGGCAATACATAAGAAAAACCTTACCTGTTCACTCTCGTCTTCATCGCTGCTTAGCTTAAGGTCATCTTCTAGCATTCTGAAACAGGGAACAAAGAGGTACAGATACTTAGCAGATTCAAAATAATTCAATGCCAAAATATCACCTTGATAAGAGCAACATTTCAGTAATAAGTCTATTTGATTTCCTAATTTTTTTTTTCCTCCTCTCCCTTTTAAGTGCTTTTCCTCTGATGCACTTAGGAAATAGCAGACAGTTGCATGATGAAAATTAATTCTCACGACAGTCACAGGGTAAGATGTGGGAGGCTTAAGGATTCACTGTTTTAGACATCAGGGCCAAAGAGGGTCACTTCCTGGGGTAGTGGTCATTCTACAGTGACTTGCTCAGTGTTTTCCTCATCCAAGGGTTGAGCTGTGTCCCTAGGCCTGCCCAGGGACCTTCACAGTAAAGAACATGACAGAATGGGTGGAACTCTGTGAAAGCCACAAAGCAATGAACTTGAGTGTGAGTGACACCAGTCCAGGGGCTGCAGGAGGCATCTGCTGAAGACCACCACCTGAGAGGGAGCTCCTTGCACCTGGGAAAGCCACGTATACACCCAGGGACCTCAGGTTCATCCTGACAGAGGCTTTGAATTTGTAAGAGGCTGGAGTGAGGACAAGAGATACAACTTCAGATGATCATTCCTGATGATAAAAACATCATACTCTCACCAGCAATTGCTGGGTTCTTTCTTTATGGAATAACAGTTTGCAGATTTATTCATTTCAAAAGACCTCTTGTTCAGAAGTGCACCCTAGAAAAGCACTCGGTAGCAGCAGAGTGGTTCTGCCAGCGAGTCGGGGGAACGTTACTCTGTACAAAACCTGGGGCTCCAGGCACCTGTCTGGGGGCTGTTCCACCCTCTACTGAAACACCTCACTCTTCTCCTTCAAGTCAGCTTCAGAAGACTGTCCCCAAAATGTGCTTGGGATCTTTTAAAGGCCTATTAGAGACCTATCATCAGGAGATGGCTGTGAAAATTTGTAAGTCGCTTTGGTGGCCTTTGGAGTGTACTAAAGGTGAGAGCTGTCAGAGCAGGGTGCCCCCCGCCTCTGTCCCAGCTGTCTGTGTATATGCAGCTGGTTACTTAAAGCACCCTCTGGCGCCATTCCCTATTCACACAGTGAAGTTTATACTTGGCAATCTTGACGGTCTAGCCCTGCTTTACATTCCACGAGTCTATGAAGTACATTTGTTCCTCTCCACAATGTAGAAAAAAAAATTTTTTTGTTCCAGGATCACAACTGAGACAAATCCAAGTCATTTCTGGGGTGCCACTGAAGTCACTTCCACTAGGACACCAGATCCATCTCCTCACGGGGTGGCAGGCAGCATTTCTTTATTCATGAGACACTGAGCAACGCAGGAAACATCAGCAGAGACTGCAAGGCGTCACGCCCTGTACTTTAAACGACTGGCAGGTCTTTTATTTCCTTAACCTGAGACTCATGCACTGGCTCCCAAGAGAATGGACATCTTGGTGATTTATTAGAGGACTCTTGGAAGTAACCTGCGGAAGAGGACTGTGCTTTCCACTGAGTCCCCAGGGAGTCCCACAGTGACAGCACACAGAATAATGTGTGTTGGTATGGCTGGAACGCAACCCTCCAAAGTTTGTGATTCAGAAATTAATTCCCAGAGTCATATGTTGGTGGTCTATTTCACGAAATGATTGTTACTAGACGAATCAATGTGGGTGGGACCCTAGGATGGCATTAGTGCCCTCTGCCATGTTATGGTGCAGCCTGAGGGCCCTCACCTTGTTCTTAAACTCCTCGTCCCTTGTTCTTGGACTCCTCTACTCCAGCAATGTGAGCCAAACGTGCTTCCATTCTTTACAGATCATCTGGGCTCAGGTGTTTTGTTATAGAAACAGCACGGACTAAGACACGTGTCAGTACATAAAGACACATCTGAATTTCCCACTGCCCCTCACACCTCCAGATCCCAGCCAAGTCACCTCTTGGGTCTTGGCCCTTGTTGTTTATGATGAAACTCAGCTACCTTTGTCATTATTTGCAGAAGAAAAGGAGCTAGGAGTCCATTTTGCTTTGTGACTAATAACCAATCTACCACTGAATTTATCTAGCATATTAAAAATGAATTTATTTTGTTTTTGGAGAAAGTCTAAAAATCACATGTATATTCATCTGTTTTCTATTGCTGTAATAAAATACTGGAGGATGGATACTTTATAAAGTAAAGAGACTAATCTAGTTCACGGTTTTGTGGGCTGGAAGTCCAAGATTAGGCAGCCCCATATCTCTGGGCTCTGCTGAAGGACCTTTTGGTTATATCACAACATAGCAGATAGCATCACAGTGGAAATGACCCGAGAGGGAGAGATTATATGGTGACTGGACGCTAGGAAGGGATTCAGGCTCACTCTTCCATAGCAATTTGCTCTTGTGAGAATGAACTACTCCCTTAGACCAGAGTCCTTTCTGAAGTTGATGTTCCCAGTGACCGAGTCATCTTATACGAGTGCTCACCACCTCTTGCCTTGGCCAGAGTGGGTACCAAGCTTCCAGGACATGAACTTTTGGGGGGACACACTCAAACCACCTCTAAGCCACAGAAACATGTACAAGCACTTTGCATTCAGGAGAGACTTCCAGAGAAACTCAAATGAAACCCCAGACCATTTCAGAACATGAGAAAGTAGCAATAGAAACAACTCGTTAAACAGCTTATACAAGGGCTGATCAAAAAAAATGGTGTGTGCTTAAATAAATACAAATATTATAGTAAAAGACACATCGTCATTAACCCCCCTCAAAATATTCCTCCTCACTTTCAATATCTTATTCTACCATGCTTGCCACCCTCTGAAGCAGCTCTGGAAGTTGTCTTCCGTGAGTGTCTTCACGAGATGTGATAATCACCCAGGGAACGCTGCTGCCAAGTTTCAGTCAGTGAAAGGCGGGCTCAGAAAAACATGGTGCTGTGTCCCATCACTTATTCACTAGATGTGGCACCATGCGATTTAAGGCACTTCCCCGAAGTCGAAAGGACCACGCAATGGAAACGTGTTGAATTAATTCAGAACTTCCAGGCAGCCACGACGCCACAACTGAAGACATTCATGGAAGAGTCTTGTCTTCCAGGTCTGCTCAGGAAGCAGCAAGAACTGTGAGATAAGTATGTTCACAGCGAGGGGGAAGGTTCTGAAGGGGACTCATGGCAGGGTGTCTTTTACTGAGATGAGTTTTTCAAGATGTAAACATTCAGTGTATTTTGTGACCGTACTTCGCACACAGTCCCACAGCCATCCTGGCTGGTGCTACTGTCAAAACGTGAGAGCACAGACTTTGAAAGACCAGTCATGTCCACACTTCCCCCTACCTCCTAACGCATGCGCAAGCCCTTGCTGTGGTAACCGAGGCTCAATTCCCAGCACCGTCCGAGAACAGGAGCCCTTCTGCTATGTTCTGGCGGTTGCCAGCACAGCCCCTGACTCCCTTGGGAAGGACAGCGCTTTTCCCTTTGCCCTCACTTTTCACAAAGCCCTCACTTTTAATGCCGATCATATCAGAGCGGCCTCTTCAAGCGCCTGAGGAAGACAAGGAGTGTTCCGAGGTCACAGCTGAACAGTAAAATGTGGCTGGAGAGGAAAAGAGAGTAACTACGGCACCCACAAGACCCTGAGGCCTGTCCACATTTGGTGCATGGTGAGTGGACAGCAGGTTGTGGTCGCCTCCCTCAGAACACAAACACCGTCATCGTAGAGGTGCCCGGCTCTGGCCAGCTCCCGATCTCTAGGGAGTGTGTTCGCCATTTGCCCATTTCCTAAAGAACTTGGGATGGCACAAGTATATTAAACAATAAACACACAAAAGTATTAAGCCGAGAGTAAAAGGACAATGAGAACGGACTGTTGGTTAGGCTCCCGGGCATGGGGTGTGGCTCTCCACCTGTTTCTGAAAAAGGAAGGCAAAGACGGACCCTGGGCTAGGGATCGAGTGTGGGGTTGGCCGCATGGGCACCTTCCACACCCGGACCCCCCCAGCAGCTCCAGGGGTTCCTCCTCTAATGATGTCCCCCATCAGAGCCAAGCTGCCTCCTGTCCCCTCCCCTTCACAGCCTGAGTCCTCGAACCCAGGGAGGAGATCTCATTGCTGAATGATGTTTGCTGCAGATGTGCTAAGCAACTATTAGACCTGACCTCATTCAGCCCACAGCAACCCCTTCAAGGTAGGAGGTGTGCACTGCTGGGGGAGCAGCCTGCAGGAGTCAGAGCATGCAGAAAGGTCCTGGGGTCACATAGCCCAGGATGAATCCTAGCTTGCTGCCACTCAGGCAGCTGAACAATCTGGTACTGTCTTAAAGGGCTTCCTAGAGAGCTCATTACACACTTCCTGGAATGTGCCTACTACAGAGCCTGGCAAAGGGACCTTCAGTTGGTGTCCATGGTTATTGATGCATGACTGGGCGTCCCCCTTTCGTATTCACGTCCACCAACTCAACCAACTGTGGATCAAAAATACTCAAAAAATTGCATCTGTATGGAACATATAGACTTTATGTCCATATTTCCTACACAATAGAGTTTAACACCTCTTTATATAGCATTTACACATATTGGGTATTATAATAAATTCAGACATAATTTAAAGTATATAGGAGGGGGTGCTGGGGATTTAGCTCAGCGGCACAGCACCTGCCTGGCAAGCGCAAGGTTGTGAATTTGATCCCCAGTACCGGAAACAAACAAACAAACAAACAAACGAAAATAAAGTATATGGGAGGAACTGATCAGGTTACATGTGAATATTATGCCATTTTATGTGAGGCACTTGAGCACCCACAGGTATTGGTATCAGAGGGAGATCCTTGAACCAATCCATCCCCACGGATATCAAGGGACAAGTGTATTCCCTTTGGATCTGTGAGGGACCAGGTCTTAGTGCATTACAGACGCTCAGATGGGTGAGCAAGCTGACAAAGATGTCTTTATAATGAAGCCCTGAGACTAAGCGAGTGCTCTCCTTTGAGGCCCCTTTGAAGTGACTTTCGCTCGTGACCGGGGGTGG